GAGGCACCTTAATGAAACCACCAGTATCTGCAATTTTGAACATTTCTTTCTCGCAAATCTTGGAACATTTCAGATGCAGAGAAGAAAGATTTGTGCTTTGCGGACGATCTTAATAGTATTCGCCTGATTGTCATAAACATTCAGTGGAAGGAGGAGTACTTAAAGGTTTTGATACTTGCTAAACCCATAGACAAAATATAGCGAGGAATCGTTTAAACACCATAATAAGAAAAGATAGGGTTGGAAGATGTTTGTGAGTTTAGTACTAAGTTAGGAAGATCTGAAGATACTTTGTTTTCGAAATATGATCGATCTGATTTAAGAGAGGAAAGGAAGAGATCTGATCGATCTGCTATGTTCTGGAGAGAGTCTCTGCTGCGATTAAAGGCTGTATCGAAGCGATGGCAATCAACTATCGAATCAGGCGTCTTCAAAGAAAGTCAGTTGAGGCAGAGGCAGAGGCAGCAGCAATAAGAAAATCCAGATCTTCTCATGGTGTCCGTACGTATTACTTACGATCCTGTTGAACCGGAAATTGAATCTCTAAGAACATTGGTGTTGGGTTCATCATATCGCTCAAGATCTCTACTCCCTGGGAAAACACGTTTGCCATGACCATTCCGACCAACCTTGTCGTGTGCTCAATCCCTCCACTAGATGGTATCCTCTCTGCGAATTACAACAACTCGTTTTCGACTTAGGACGCAGTTTCCTCTTGCCCGAATACGACCTCTACTATCTTGGATTCGGTAAAGACAAATTGACTGGTACATACAAGCCTGTTTGGTTATACAACTCTCCAGAACTAGGCCACTACATGCCAAGTTTTCGATTTTAGCACCAATGCTTGGAGGTATGTCACCCCTTCTTCTCCTTACCGTATCATTGCTTCCCCCGATCCTGTGTATCTAGATGGCTCACTTCATTGGTTCACCGACTGCAAAGAAACCAAAGTTGTGTCTTTCGATCTTCATACCGAAACTTTCCAATTACTTTGTGAAACTCCTTTTCTCAATGCAAAGCCTCACCATACCATCATCATGCGCAACCTCGACAATCGCTTGTGTGTATGCCAGAGGAAGGAGCAGAACCAAGTGATATGGTCCTTCGATTTAGGCAACAAGACATGTTAGTGCCGTTATGTTTGAATTAGTCTTAGTAGTGGAACAATAATG